TGCATTTCTCCCTATTTAAAATTACCAATAAAGTGGATATCTGTAAAACTTTAAAGTTAGGAAGGAAAACAAAATTTCTAAATCTTTACTTCTTTTTTTGTTTTAAAAAAAGACTTGCAATTTGGCCCCCAGCTAAAAAAAAACGGATTTGAAAGGGAAAAAAGAAGTGAAAAAAAATTTATTATATTAACCAAAACCCGTGAAATTAGTCGTAGACAATGCTCCATGTGGCGCTTTTTTTTTTTTAACTAGTAGCGTTTAAGCTCCTAATAAAAAAATATCGAGTAAAAACTGTCCAGCGGGCTTCACATAAACCCCCCCCCCCAGTGTTTGTTTTTGGGGAAACAATCAGCTCAGGGATACTCTTCCCCTTAAAAAATCCCAAAGAGCCCCCCCGCCCTTAAAAAGGAAAAATTACTTTAGAGTCTGGGGTGAGTTGTTTTTACTGGGGGGGGAAGGGCCCTGTGGGGGGGAAATCAACATAATGGATGGGGTTTTGTAGTAAATGGGGCAGATAATTTAAATTTTCCCGTTTAAACTATTGTCTGCCCGGGTGGGGGGGTCTGTTAAAAATTTTAAACCAATTCCCACACAGTCAGTCGCCCTTTTTTTTTTTATTTAGCATTTTTGGCCCCTTTTTTTATTATATTTTTTATGATTGTTTTTTTCTCATTTACACTTAACACCTCACTCTCATCCCTCTTATGATTTTAGACAGGTTTCTATATTTTTTTTTTATGTTTAAAGCGGCCCGTTCTAGAATCTCATCTACAAATATATATATAGAGGAGTCTTTATAGAATGGTAACACCCTTTTTTATTTATTTACCACTAAAAAAAGCATTTTGTTTTTTTAAGGGGGTTTTAGTTTTAATCTATAGTTTTATTTCATTTTATTTTGGGAAAAATATAATATTGTAAATGAAAAAAAAATTTTTTTTTTTCAAAGTACAGTAGCTTGATCAAAAAGTTTTTCTTAGATTAATAACTAAACCAAAAACCGGGAAATTTTTTTACTCCCCAAATGCTATCAAAAAAATGAAAATAAAAAGATTTTAAAAATGAAGGAAAATACTAAAACACTTTCTCTAAAAGGTAGCATTTTTTCTTGCTTGAGGAAACCTCTCTTCAGAGGGGACGGGCCCGAGTCTCTCTGGGCTGCAGATAAAAGGCCCGGTTTTTTTTATGTAGCTCATGTTTAAAATCCATTTATGTTTATGTTTGTGTGGTTTTTAAAACATACCTCGGAACATGTTGGGAAAGGAAAAAAGTTCTGGGGGGTGGGTTTAACTTTGCACAAACACAAGTTACCGCCCGGTTTTTCCTTTTCTCTGTTTTTGGGAAAAAAATGTCCATATCCATTTTGCTTTTTAACCCCCTTATTCTATATTTAAAAAAAACAAAACTGAGTCACTTTACTTGGATATTTAGTAGAAGGGCCAAAAATTTTAAAGTTAAAGGAAATGGGGGCAAAAAAAATTGTTTTTAATATCTAGCACAGATAATAATCTGTGTTTTGTATTTATGTTTTTGTCCCCCTGGGGTTTTAAATTTTTTGGGAAAAAACTTCCCACTGGGAATTATAGCTAAAACTTCGTGGTTTATAGCTTGCTTTTTAATTTCTTTGGGTTTGGGGTTTCGGCTCCCCCCATGTTTACACATCTAGAGGGCTAAAATTACTTTTCTTTTTTTGATTAAAATTAGACTCTGTATGAAAAAAAGTCTGGGGAAATAGATTCCTAAAACTTTTTTTTAGGGTGTTCAATAAAAAGGGGTTTTTCTCCATTAAAGCACACAGCTGAGTTTAATTTTTCACCATCCTATCTCAGCTCTGAAAACTTTTCTGTTTTTGGTCCCCTCCTGCTGAAAAGGGAGACCTTTTACCCCAGCTTTAAGTCTTCTTTTAGCCTTAACAGGGTTTCTTAGGGGGAAATCTGACCTCCGTTCCTCTCAGATAGCGTCTTTCTATGGGCGCTGCCATTTTATGATCCCGTTTTAGCCCCTGTCACACCTTGACGATTTAGCCAGCATATGCCTGACATCCCATAATATCCTAAAATGCTGGCATACACTGGACTTTCTATGTATTTTTTCATTTTTAGGCGTATACATAGTGTATTTATAACGAGTCCAGAACGTATGTCTAATGACAGCCTAACTTATGCATAACGCACGGCAGCGCCCATGAAATGTCACAAGCCAGTATTCTGAGAGGGGGGCAATGTGCCCGGAGGCACCTAGCCTGCATAAAGAGATTTCTTTGATCACGGTATTAACTTATCCACCTGCCCCCCCAAAAAAGAATCAATAAATAAAGAAAGAAATAGAAAGAAAAGGTTTGCAGTCGCAGCAGATTCAGCGTAATGTCTGCTAGGAAGTTTGTTGATCGTGGCCGTGGGCGTGAATATTGGATCCATCACACTCACCTTCACTCTCACCCTATAACTGGAACAGAGTCAAATTGGTGAGATCATGCTGATGTTGGAGGACAGCTAGTACAGTATGTACTCCCATCTCAGGTTTGCCAGATCCTTCAGCTCTAGTGGAACATCTGAAGTCTGGAGGAGTACTGATGGTTTCCTCATGTGAACCCCCTTTTATACAAAAACGCTGCCAATACGCCATTAAACAGTAGATGTACGTTAGAAACACGTTTAGCGGTCGTCTGTAAGACGTCAGATATGTAGTTATGCACAAGTTACTCATAGGTTTTGGATAAGCTAGACGCGACGACTTTTGAGTAACTTACACTTAACGTATGTCGACTATCTGATAACTTACCTGTAACTTATGGTTCATGTATGAGCATAAGCTGGCATACGTTGGGAAATTCGTACGTCAAAAATCTGGACGTACATGCCGTATGTCGATGTGTGCCAGCGTGCTTTTAACTTATACAAAACATACTCATAACTTATCAAAACGTGAAGGTGTGACGAGACCTTTACATGTGGGTTAATTTTTTAAATTTAGTTTTGTTCTGATCTGAGGAGAGGACTTTGCTCAATGTTATGCTGCATCCCCTGGATGACTTCATATGAATCCTTTCAAGCATAACTTAGCATAGATATTTGTAGAGCAAACTGCAGTTTGTGGTTGTTCTACCTGAGCTGTGGATCTTTAAAGCTCCTCTAGAGGTACCATGCAGCTCTGTTTTCTGCAAGTTTTCTTTCTGTTTTGCCTTTCAGATCAGAGCAATGCTCTTGTTTTGGTAGGTTTTACCTTACAACCTGATAATCTTTTTTGAGCCTAAATAGAAGCTCAACACCAGACACAATGAGCCAACATAAACAGACATGGCGCCATCTATTGGCAGTACTGCTAAACTAGCTGAAGTTACAGGAAGATAACAAAGGATCTTTTATGTTAGATTATGGTAGCTAGGACATGGATGCACATATCTATCACCATTTTCACAGTTGCAATTCGCAAGTTTTACCCCTCTTGGAATCAAACATCTTCGTGCTCCTTTTTACTTTATATTTTGAATAATCTTTTTTCACAACTATTCTGATAATTCTACAGTCCCTCACTTCTACTGCTTTGGCTTATTGACAAACTGTATGCATGCACAGTGACATAATGCCTGTCACACAATGTATTTACGGTAAATATATGTAAACTGCTATGCAATATGAAAACAAATTGAGCTTGAAACACAAAAATAACAAAAATAATACACCAGCAGATACACCAGATCCTAACTATGTTTAAATATTCCTGACTCTGAGCTGTCTGGTACGTTGCTCCTTAGTCACAAGTTACAATATTTGCTTTATGGAGCCTAGGCGGGGGTTCAACTGAATAAACTGATTACTGGCTTTCATTCGCCTGCAACACAGCCAAGCAGCTTTGAACCACACCTCCACGAAAGCCAATCAGCATCAAAAGTTTATCTTAAAAGGCCTCCGATGCGCAACTCGTCTGCTGGCGCACAGGCGGTGGGTGCGCGGTGTGAATTAATTCAGATGACCCCGTTTCAACACACCTTTAGCCCCTCATCCACCATCGTAGCTAAAACTCCGGACTCTTACTGCATTCCGCGTCTTATTTCAAGTGGTCCGGCAGATGCCTGGCATGTTGAGCCTGGTTCTGCCAGAGGTTTCTTCCCAGTGGGGAGTTTTTCCTCTCCACTGTCGCTTCATGCTTGCTCACCATGGACAGGTTCTCTCAACCTGTGTTATCCAAACTGGACTTCCATCTTCCAGGTCCCTGAGTGAAGCTCTAGTATCAACTCACGCAGTCCACTGGATCTCCCCGTAAAGCTCAGCATACCGTCTCGCTAACCAGCAGTCTACAGACTGACCAACTTCATCTATCTCCATTCCACCACCAGGGGCGGATTAAGAAATTTTGGCCCCCTGGGCCTGACATGGTCTTGGCCCCTCAACCCCCCGCGCGTGCGGGCGCACACACACGCACGCACTATGCAAGAAATACTGTATACTGTGAACAGACATGCACACTGTCCTGTACAGAAGAGTGCACATACTGCACACACACTATTAGGTATACCACACAGACACTGACAAGCACAGGTTTCACACAGACACAGGGGGAGGGGATAAATGGCCTAAAAATAAACATTTTGGAAAATGATTATGCCCACTTCAGTGATGGTGCATTGGGTCATTTGAGAGATATTATGTATTGGAAGTTGGTAGCTATCATGAAATAAACCCCCCACCCCACCCAAAAAACTAAATCGGACATGATTTTTGCCCCCTTTTCCTCCCTTCTATCATTAAAAATAAAATAATATCTTAGGAAAACACTTTGGCATAACGGCAGCTGTGCAGCAAATTGAGGCTCAAAGTCTGTATCTATTTGTGGTTAAGCTTGAGGAGAAGGAGAAAGGTAAAATGATAACATGCATCAGAGAGCACCACAAAGAAAGGTGTAGGCCAGTTCATGGTACAAGGGCTGCATGCAGGTCAAGATAGCCCATTTCCAAGAATGCTATAGTGGCTGGACAGGCACTGGACATGTCCTGAACTCAGTGTCAGACGTGGCTGCCGAATACTTGGATGAAGTGAAGCAGCTGACAGATCTCATGCTGCCCCATCTGAAGACTGTCCTGGCCAGGCAGAGGATGGATGAGGAGACCTTCCCAATGGACCCTGTCAGTGAACAGGCTAGTAACATTGATGGCACCCCTGTGCACAACATTGGGATGGAGAGACAATGTGGCAAGGTGGACTACAAACTGAAGAAGTTGGGCACACTGAACGCAGTCAATAGGTCAATAATTTTACAGAAGTGCCAGGAGCTTCAGAGGCTCAAAGAAAGGAGAGTAAGAGACTAGACATGCTGGACACACTGAAATCTTTTGATGGCCCCTTCACGATAGTGGGGAAGTTGAAAAGTTCCTTGTGGATGAAAGTCTGCACAAGAATGCAAAGCTGCAGAGAATGAAGCTTGAGGTTCAGTTTGCCAGAGAAAGCACCAAGCTTCTTCCTAAAGTCAATCCTATCTTCACAATCCAGGTGACACTTCCCAGAAATGGCGAAAGTGCAAGTCATAATGGATACTTAGAATTTTATGGTGGTGGTAAGTATTCATGAAAACAGGTAGCCTAACACTAGTGAATGGGTGAATTCTGGAAATAACCAAAAAATCTTACACAGTGCACCTTTAAGCAAGGGGTTTATTTCGTGCTTTCAATTTTGCAAAATCATCCACCACATCATTGAAGTCCAACTCTCTTGTCAGCTCACTCGCAATTGCCATTAGAGATAACACATTTAATCTTTTCTGAGTCATTCTTGTGCGCAGCTCATTTTTTACTCTTGACAAAAGAGAGAATGAGCGTTCTCCCTCACAGTTACTGACCGGTAGAGTGAGAAAAATCTGTAGCGCAATGTATGTATTAGGAAACGTAGGCTGTAGTCCAAAATGTATTATTGTTTTGAGCAGTCCTGAAGGGGTCCTCTCCTCATCAGTGTTGTTGAGCTGTATAAAAGATTTGAACTGTATAAGCTCCTGTCCAAGACTTTCATTGAGGTCAGATGGGTATGATTCAGTGAAAATCTTGGCCTTGTGAAGGACTGAAGCATTGGACTCTGTATCCAAAGAGAAAAGGACACTGAACAAATTGTTCAGATGTTTGTAGGCCTCCAGACGGTGATTAAGGCTTGAACTCAGTTGATCAATAGAGGCAATAAATGTCTCTATTTGAAACAGTTGCCCTTCCTCAAGCACAACATCTGGGGATGCTGATTCATCAGCAAACTTTTTACGTTTCCTCGTCCGTTCAGCCCTGTAAGATGGGGTGCCACCCTACATGTTTAAGGCTTTCTGCTCAAAATGATCAAATAGATCTCTTTGGGAGAGAACAAAGGTGCGCAGAGATTCCAGCAATCTAACTGCTGTACCAAGGTCCATGTCTGCTTTTTGAAGTTGCAGACTTGTGGCCTGAAATCTGGACAGAACAGTGTCCCAAAAGCCTGCCATGAAGGCCATCTCAAGTGAATCCAGCTTCCGCACTAGACTGTCAGCTTCAGTTCGTGTGTCTCGTTTCTCTGTGTCATCAGTGGAAATAACCTGTAGTGCTGCTTTTATTTTACTGTAGTTCTGCCACAGTGCTTTGGTAGATTCTGCACGGCAACTCCAACGCGTGTTGGATAAAGCTTTAAGTGTGAGATCTATGTTGGAATTGCCAAATACCCTGTCCCATCGGTGTGTGGATGCAGTTGTGAAGTTGTAAATAGACTGGATCAAGTCAAAATACTTAGAGACTTCATTTCCACATCTGTCAATGCTGTTGACTCCCACCAAATTCAAAGAGTGAGCTGCACATGGAATATAGTGTATTAATGGGTTGCTTTTCTTTAAGTGAGCCTGCAACCCATTATACCTCCCTGACATGTTGCTGGCATTATCATAAGCCTGCCCCCGGCAATTTGACAGCTCTAACCCTAGATTTTCCAACACAGACATGACACAGTTAGCCAAACTTTCACCTGTATGGCTAGTAATGGGCTCAAAACCCACAAAGCGTTCAACAACACTGCCCTCTTTGCTAACAAAACGGAATATGAATGTCAATTGGTCCACATGAGATAAATCTGGGGTTGAATCCACAATGATAGAGTAGTATTTGCTTGCTTGCAGTTCATCTGCTATAGCCTGTTTGGTTTTTGCACCCATCAATTCAATGAATTCCTCACAAATGGTGGAGGACAGATATGAGGTATTACCTCGACCCATCTGCCCAAACTTTCTGATGTGATCCTTTAGAAAGGGATCAAATTCAGCCAGGACCTCCAGAATACCAAGGTAGTTCCCATTGAGAGGAGACCCTAACGATTCATTTTTACCCCTAAATGCAAGGCCCCTTTCTGCAAGGAATTTAATGACTGCAACAACTCTTTGTAACACCTGCCTCCAATAGCTGCTCTCTGCTTGAAACTGTTTGAACAGGTCTGCATCAACTGTGGCACCTTTGGCGCGGTTCAAGACTGCTTGCATGCAGGTTATGTGCTCAGCACTTCGCTCATGTTCACCAAATCTTTCTGAGTGTTTCCAATCACAATAGCCTGTCACAAAAGAATGCGTTTTTGGGGAAAACAGTTTGCATGCAAAGCAGTAAACATTACCAGTAGAGGGAGAGTACATCAGCCACTCTCTTTGTACTCGTTGTCCATTGGGCAAGTGTGAAGTAAAATGTTCATTGTTTAGGCATCGGGTTTTGCCTCCTAGCCCACTGTTCCTCACAGAAGCTGGATAATGGCTGTGACGGTTGTGAAATGATTTTGCACCTTTTTGAATAAGAACTTCCTTCATTGACTCAGTGAGGGTCTCAGCCCATTTAGCGGGATCACTAGGTAGAGTTGTCACTGTAGATGGTGTTGAAGAAAGATTCAGCTCATTTTCTATGCTGTCCAGAGGTGCAGTGACCTCACATTCATCCGAGCAACTGGCTACTGCTGAATTGGTTGAATCATAAGCATCAGAAGCATTTGGTTCAGTGTCTACACTTGTAGTGGTCTCAGGATCTTGGGAGCTACATGCTAGCTCAGGTGCATTGCTAACCTTAGCTGAATTTGCAGTAGCATTTATAGAATTGCTTTCAGCAGATGTCTTTGTACTGAAGAAGCTGGAGATATTTGGAACACTCTCAAGTAAAACTGATTCCTTTTTTTTCTTTTCTTGCTGAATTTTTTTTCTAGCTCCTCCACTTAAACGTTTATGATCCATATTTCCCTTCTTTCTTTGCACATTGGCTCTTTGCCTATCACAACAGATAAACCAACTATGTGTGTGTGTGTGTGTGTGTGTGTGTGTGTGAGTTTGTTTGTGTGTTTATGATCGGTGCTGCTTCCTTCAAGTGTGTGAGGTGATTTAGAAAACTAGAAACCCAGCATCAACACTCCAAAGCAGAGAATAACAGCTTACTAGCATAGACAATTGAGAGCAGAGAATCAACTGATTCGTCTGATAGACAGCAGGAGAGCAGAGTGGTCAGTGATGATCGAATCAAGAAAATGTCTAAATGGCAAGGGAACAGACTGATTTGTACTGAGGAGAAAGAGAGAGAGAGCCAATTACAGTGAAATATATTCCAAAAGAGCCAAGTGACTAGCTGAAGGCAGGGACAAATGCCTTGGAGTGACCAACAAGAGTGCAAAGTACCAAATGGCAAAATGTGGGAAGACCAACAGGCAGATCTGCTTTTACCACTTATCTTCACAACCAAAAAGTCGCTAAATGATGTTTTTAGTCGCTAGCCAGGTATGGCCAAAAGACACGAAATCTAGCGGCAAAGTCGGTCAATCACACTGACAGTGAAACAAATATTTTGAAAAGATAATAATTGTACAACTTTGTGCACTTTTGTCTTCTATCTAAATATTTTCACAAAGGACACCAAAATGTTGCTATCTGCAGGCAGCTTGCTAGCTATGATGGCAGCAACGATGTCTGCCAGACAGGAGAGAGTGGTCAGTGACGATCGAATCGAGAAAATGACAAAATGGGTCAAAGACCAAAAAGTTATTAACTGACAGCAGTGACAAATGTCAGACTGTAAACTTTTTCGAAAGAAAAGGACAAAATGGGAAGATGCTGATAGTAACAGCAAAATGGAAAATATAAGAATTTCCAAGTAATGCTCAACTCAAGTGTGTGTGTGTGTGTGTGTGCGTGTGCGCGCGTTAAACTTCTTGTTGAATGATTTCAAATTATCTCTGAGTCTGAACTGAGGGAAAGGAAACCAAATTTTGAGCAGTCTCTCACGAGTTCAAAATACCAAATGAGGAGATTCTAAAAGAACAGACCGGTTTATGAAAGACTCGATGGGGGAGGGGCACAGCTAAGAATACTTGAGTGAGATTCTGTGATCCAAATTCGAGATAGAGCTTTTTGATCATGATAATTTGTCAGAGTAAGGTTGTGTAATCAAAATTTGAGAATGAGCTTTGTCAATCAATCAAGAATATTTGCATTAAGTTCTGTGATCAAAATTCAGAAACAACCTTTAATAATTGATAAAGAATATGTGAGTGAGGTTGTGTGATCCATCCAATTTGAGAATTAGCTTTGATAATAATGATTGAGAGCCTCTGGCCCTCTGTGGATCATGGCCGCGGGGCCAATTTTGCCTGGCCCCTTGGGGCCTCTGTGGGTCGTGGCCGCGGGGCCAAGTTGGCCTGGCCCCTTGGGGTCTCTGACCCTCTATGGATCGGGGCCAAGTTGGCCTGACCCCTCGGGGCCTCTGGCCCTCTATGGATCATGGCCGCGGGGCCAAGTTGGCCTGACCCCTTAGGACCTCAGGCCCTCTGTGGGTCGTGGCCGCAGGGGCCAAGTTGACCTCGCCCCTTGGGGCCTCTGGCCTTCTGTGGCTTGCGGCCGCGGGGCCAAGTTGGCCTGGCCTTTTGGGGCCTCTGGCCTTCTGTGGGTCGTGGCCGCGGGGCCAAGTTGGCCTGGCCCCTTGGGGCCTCTGACCGTCTTTGGATCGTGGCCGCGGGGCCAAGTTGATCTGGCCCCCTGGGGCCTCTGAACCTCTATGGATCGTGGCCGCGGGACCAAGTTGGCCTGGCCCCTTGGGGCCTCTGACCGTCTATGGATCGTGGCCGTGGGGCCAAGTTGGCCTGGCCCCTTGGGGCCTCTGACCGTCTATGGATCATGGCCGCGGGGCCATGTTGGCCTGACCCCTTGGGGCCTCTTACCCTCTATGGATCATGGCCGCGGGGCCAAGTTGGCCTGACCCCTTAGGACCTCAGGCCCTCTGTGGGTCGTGGCCGCGGGGCCAAGTTGACCTGGCCCCTTGGGGCCTCTTACCCTCTATGGATCATGGCCCATTGGGGCCTCTTACCCTCTATGGATCGTGGCCGCAGGGCCAAGTTGGCCTGGCCCCTTGGGGCCTAAGATTATTATTTTTGCAAAAGTAGTTTTGCTTGGGTCGCGGCCGCGGGGCCAAGTTGGCCTGGCCCCTTGGGGCCTCTGGCCCCCTGGGCCTGGGCCCGGTAGGCCCAGTCATTAATCCACCTACGTCCACCACCAGTTTCAGGCCTGGGGGGGAACAGTCCTATTCTTTACTCCTGTTCATGCATATCTATCAAAATTCAGCGCTATGTTTCCTGCCGAGGTCTGAGCGCCAAAGAATAAGTAATTGTATCAATACATTTCTTCTAATTGTCCTTTCTCTCCATGTGAGTTTTTCAGATTGAAATTAATTGTGTCCTGCTTTCTGTTGCTCATGTGAAATCCCAGTGAAATACACTTAGTGTGTGGTTGTTGTGCAGCAAAGTGGGAAAAAGGTTACATTGGCTGCTTTAACTCAAAGCTATATACCGGTAAGCAATATGCCAGTCTGAAGGAGTGTGACTCTCAGGATCAGAAATACTGTCTTTGCATGACTTCTCCTTTTTTGATGTTTTTTTTTGTTAGCTTTTTTTTTTTTTGTGGCATAATGTATATTTTTGTCTCTGAAGTGTAGATGTGTTAAAAAGGGTGGTGCAGCTTCCGAAGGCTGTGACAAAAGGACCAAATGGGAGTCTTGTCCATGTTTCAGGACTGAGTGATGACTTTGGCAGAAACGCAGGAGATAAAACACTTTCAACCAAGTGCAAGGCCAGGACTAAAAGCAAACAGCTGTGCACCCTAGTCTCTCTCTTTCTCTCCCTCTCTCTCACATACTCTCAACCATATTTTACTTCCTTTTTCTCCTTTAATTTCTTCTACCGTATTTATCTCTCTTTGAGTTTCCCTCTCCACAAGATCCGTTTGCTTTACTACACTTTCTACAACCATACATTTATTTTTCCCTTTAATTGCTTCTTTTTCTTCCCCTCTTCTTTTTTTTCTCTGCACTAAGATATCAAATGAAGCCTCAATCCTTTGTTTTTGCTAAACTAACACCAACAAAACTTTTCCTTTTCTTTTTTTGCCATTCTCTTGCTGTTTAATGGGTGGAACTCCCCATTGTACCAGAAATCATGCACAACATCATCAAATATTATGACTAAACTTAATTGAAGCTATGCAACTAAGATGGGATTTCATGTGGGATATTTTAACTTGGACTTGCTGGAAGTTTTAAGTGGTCTGAAGAAACAGCAGGATGAGTTTTTGTAATCATTATTGTGGCAACGCAGCTCCGCATTTGGAGTTTGTTCCTTAGAGAAAAACAAACTCAGAGACCTTTCAGCGTTTCTCAACAGAGGGATCAAACAAACAATCAGTGACCCGAAAAGAGTCCTGAAAACAGAAGATGATTAGGGAATGCTAAACATCATTAGAAGAATTTATCTGAAAGAATCTGATAAAGAATAAAAGGTAGATTTTAATAGTGCATTTTGGATTTATTCAGTTTATGAAATGACTATTGTGTCATGCAAAATTGAGACAAACATCTTCATAAATGGATTGAGTCGAAGGATTTTTCAGGCTCGCTGGTAACAAGGTGGAAATCCAGGTGCTCACTGTGGGGTTGTCCTGTTTTTCCTGCAGGTATGTTTATCACAGCTCCAAGTGGATGGTAGCAGGAAATGCTGATTCTCCGGTACCGCCGCGAGTTTACATCCATCCAGACTCTCTGGCTTCAGGAGACACCTGGATGAGGCAGGTGGTCAGCTTCGACAAGCTCAAGCTCACCAACAATGAGCTGGACGACCAAGGCCATGTAAGAAAACTGCCTTTATTTCTATCATGCATCAGTTTCTGCTCAGCTGCCTGCAAAGATGTGCAAAAAGCTTTCAGATAAATTCTTCTTTTATTCCAGCAGGATTATGGAAGGTTAATTGAGACAAAATCGTAAAAAATAAATATAGCATAATATATAGTTGACAGTTTAAATAACTTTATGATAAGTTTGCTGCTCAGAAACCTTGACATAAATAAATTAAATTTATTTGATATTTCATGATGCAATGGTACATGTAGCTAATGATGTGTTAAATAAATAAATGATAGATTTAATTATGTAAAGCTACCTTTAATTATTTAAAGGTACATTAAATGGCACATGTGTTTATTTAGTTTTACATTTAATTATTTCATGGTACATTTGTTTGAATTATTACACATTCACTCTTCACCTGATACTATATTAATTATTTATTGTATTTTGTTGCCCATATCCCCCCATATAGGATATCCTAAAAAAGAAAAAATATTGTAGAAAATAATGTATATACAATTTTTTATTTTAACATGGAAAGAATTGCCCTAACTATATTGAAAATAAAACAGTGTTGAATCTTTTTTTTTCTTCACGTGAATCAAATTTCTTTAGTTATCTTTAACTTCCTGTTTCATTTATTCTTTTAACTTAATAACAGCTTTAATAGCTACTGATATAAATCTACAGTGAAAGCAACAGTTAAATAGCTTCAAACGGCAGAAGCCTTGACATGAAAATGGAACCATATTTGACTTTTGAAAAACACACAGAGAGGAAAACACAAATTTAACAAAATGCAGTATTTGAAAATTGCAGCTAACGTCTTTCCTCTGGAATAAGGAGCAAGGAAACATTTATACCGGTCTGCAGAGACGTTAGCTTCACCATTATTATTGGTCAGAAGAAAGAGTTTTTATTCAGCTGGAAGAAAAGAGAATGTGATCTGTGAAACAAATTTTAAAGGAATTCACTTTGTAAAACTCAACTCAGGTTGAGTTTTACAAAAACACCAAAGTTACTCTCAAAATATATTTTGATAAAGATGTTTTCTTTCTAGTTTGCATAGTTTTCTTTCATTCATTCCACACTACAGCAGTAAAAACATAGGCAAGTGTTTCTGTAAAATGTTTTGATAAAAAGTAATGTAAAAAGGTCTTAATTTTAAATAAACCTCAGAATTGCAAGAAGTTCCTAAAGGTACAGATTGTTTTTTTAAAGGAAAAATTCTGATCAGCGATTTAGCTGGATTTTAGAGTTTTATCTTTGCCAAAAAAGCATCTTATTGATCTTACCATCTTACACACCTGTAAGAAATCATAATTATAAAATGTAATTCTGTCCCAAAAAGGATCAAATAGTGAATAATAGAAATGATCATTGTTGTGTATCACTGTGCCCCAAAACTTAGCATCTAAGGCCTAATTTACTTTCATTTTCTCCATTTAGCTACCCTGCTATTAGTCTTTTGTAGAGGCATTGCTAAGGAGTTGGTCAAAAACACAAAAAAACATCTTTCTTACTTGCAGGTTTATATGCTGCAGGTGTGGTTGCTAACGTAATCAGGAGGAAGGGAACTGAGGAGAAAACTAAGGTGTATTTGCTTTATTTGTAGCTAACAGATTAGCCGGCTATCCACCTTCTCAAAGCACACTGCATCCACTCGTCTCTGTTTATTCACTGGATTGCTGATAGCCCAAAAAAAGTGAAGTCACTTGCCGCCATCTTGCTACTCCCCACTCTCACTGAGTTGCGCCATAAAATGCTTACTGTATGTGTGTTTCATTTTGCTGCAAAAACAAGCTGTTTCCTGACTCTAGGAAGATGTTTCAAAGGTAATTTTACAGCCAGTGGATCTACTAACTAAGAAAATCCATATATACACCCATGTATCCTATAGTATAGTATGAAACACAATTTGGCTATATATTTTTTTCATATTTGAAATGTAAAATATGTATATTTGAATGTGAATTCACACTACGTGTGTAAGTTATATCATTAAAGGCATTCAATCACTGGTTAGTTTATGTGTGTGTTTGTGTTTGTTTGTGTTTATACATACCATCAGATTCTTGCTGTAACAAAATATGATTTTGCTAGTGTAGAAACTGAAGAGTTATCAAATTGTTTCAGTAATTTAGCTCAATTGTAAATCTATGTCAGATTTAAAGGCTAATGCACAGACACAACATAAAAATATAAGGCATCATGCATGCACAATTTTTCAAATAGAAAAATATTATAGCATTAACAGACATGTATTTGTAATTCAGTCTTGATGTAAAATGTTCAAATGATATGTAATATGTAATATATATAATTTTGCCATAACAATGTTATCAATACATGTATATTACATGTACATCATTACTTTAGCAATTTTAGCAAATCTGTTTTATTATTATTATGCTACATAAACACATTAATTTTGGTTTGATGGATTTGTATAATATGTTACATTACATGATTTATAGACTTCATAGTTACCATGCAATGTAATGTGCCTATCTTTTTTATCAAAAATTACTAATCTACTTATGCTACACTGCAAAAAATAAATTTAATCTAAATAAGCCATTTTTTCTTAAAATAAGTGCATTTTGTCTCGAATGGAGGAGGTAAGTGTAATACTTTGCCAATGGAACAAGATAGTTTTACATTTAAAATAAGAAAAAGCAACTGCATTGTTTTATTACAGCACATATTATCTAATTATCTTATTTTAAGAGTAAAAATAGTCTTTCAATTGGCAAATCACCTTGCCTGCTCAAATTAATTATTACTTGATTTAAATTTTTTTTTTACTTATTTCCACATCATTTCTCCCGTGTATAAGACAGCAAGTATATGTAAACTGATAAATCTATCTTTATTTTAAAAGTCTTAAGCCCACCTGAGAACGAGAAAATCATTGTTGTTTGATGCTGTAGCAAACGTATTGTTCACATTGCGACTGGTCTAACTGCGGAGTACCAATATGGCAGCCGGTGACTTCACTCCACCATGTACGGGCAATCACCAATCCAGTGAATAAATAGGGATGGGTGACGGCATCCCATGCAGCCTCACTCACTCAGCTAAACTTCATCCTTAGCAGTTTCTCCTCATATAACCAGACACCTGATTATTATTCGTACATCATCAACAGTTATGCTATTCTTTTTTGAAATGGAGGAAAAAAATGGGGACAGTTAAAGATACATGGTTTATTTATTGGGAACAGATCACTCATCATGCTGCTTGTTTGGGGGAGAAGTGAGACTAAAACTTTTTTTTTATGTTTTAAAACAGGTAGAATTGATTAGAAAACGGGTTCTTAAACTATCCAGTGTCTTATATAACAAATTAGCAGAGTTAACATACTAGCCTTATTAAAACAACTTTGTTCATGTTTTCCATAGAATTATAAGTCTATAAAATCATAAATGATTTCTGATAATATAAAATACTGCCAGCATCTTCAATGACAGAGAATGAAGGTGGAAAAATAATATTACAAGGACTTTGCTATACTAGACAGTCTTAACATGTAAAAATACTGCTTCCTTCTAAATACCTCCTTATATCGCTGAACTTTTTAGTAATGCTGAAAATATCAAACTTAATGTCTTTTTCCTCCAGAAACACCATCAACACTTACATATTTTAAATAGCTGTGCACTGTGTGCTCAGTAAGAATAAGAAGGTCAGGCCTTTTTCAAGTTAATTTGATTTACTGCATATAATAATTTTATTTTGTAACAATGCAAAGTGGAGATTCTTATTTGAACATTGTAATTCACATGTAATTAGTGTTCTGATCAATAAAGCAGTAAAACAATAATTTACTGTCTCAATGAAATACAGGGAATGTCACAAAGCTTTTTTTATATTCTGTTAGATTATTTCTGCAACGCCTTTTGATGTTTATATCAACTTTATCACATTAGCCACATTCTTTGCACTTGAATGTTCAAGCTGTGATCTTCATTTTCATTCTTTGAGCTCCACATCCCTTCATGCTGCTGGAGCAATGAAATTTTTCTGAAGCGGTGCAGCCATTCTTGGATGGAAAGTTTTTTTTTTTATACATTTGCATGAAAGGAAAGTTGAAAGGATCCTTCATGAACTCGATGCTTTCATGACTCACGCAGCCATGAGACTCGTTCAAAATCGATTTTCTGTCTTCTGTACCACATATTGCCCTCCCACACTCTGTCTTTTTGAAGTCTGTGTATTATACGGGAAACATATTAGAAGTCTGGAATTTGAACCACTGCCCTGAATTTAATACTTAATATTTATTTCCTTCACAGCACAAGGATTTTGTTATAAAACGGTTCGGGTAAAGGAACTTAATGGCTGAGGTAGATTTGTATTTCACTCAAGCAGCAACGCAGCTAAAACTTGAAGTCTGACCTCAATATGCCTGATTTATTGCCTTGCTTGCAATAAGTTCTTAACAAAGGTAGTCATCTGAAGTAGATTTCTTAGTGGTTCTTTCCTAATCTAAACGGATAATGTGGGTTTCATAAGTGCGATTTTAACTGTATGCAACAAGTAAAATTGTCGTCTCTTTTATTTACTGCCTTCAAATATCTAATCAGGCAAAACGGAGAAGTTTAGGGCTTTGTTAACCAAGACAATTATGGCCTGTTCATACTCAGTATCACACAACATCCTGTGTGAACTGATTACAGCTGTGAGTGGACCCAGGCTGGTCGGAGAAGTAGATCCCCCCACATTCAGAGGTGGTTTGCTACGGTGGTGTCCAAGTTAGGTTAAGGCAGTTAGAATTGAGTCCTGGGCCAAATTAAAGGACCGCATACTGACCTAACATGAATGCATTCAAGCCACAAACTGTTCTCCGGAAAACACAGGAAAAATGTCCTTCATTAAAAAATTATATTTTGAAACGGAACAATCCTCAGGATATACTAATGTCCCAGTCAAGGTGTGGTTGTAACTGGATTTTATTACTTTCAGTAATCAAACATACGGTACTCAGGTCAGTTCAGTTT